TACATGCCAAGTGGCCCCCACATCACACCACAACATCACTCTTTGTTTTTTCATTATTCATCGGTAACATAAGTCAATAACCATCATCGGAGGTAATACATATGTTACCATCATTTCAAAAGAGAAGAACAACATAGAGATATTGTACACTAATGTCGGATTAATAAGATACATGCATATAAATAGACAAATTTCACATAGCAAGCCGAACAAGACAAGTCTCGTTCTATACTTGTGCTGTGAAACGGGTGCTTTCCATTATATGGTTGGCGCTATTGAGCTCGAGGCCCTCGCGTATGTGAAATTCTTTGATATGCATTACAAAGGAAATGAGAAATGTCGAATAATAATATAAATGTCAATTAAAGTGAATCGCTTCTAACCTCATCAAGCGGTAAATCTTTGAACTGTGGAAGAATTTGACGTTCAACGAACTCAATGTATGAAGCCGAAATGGTTTGAGTTACTCCGTCTGCAAATTCCACCTTCAGTTTCTCTGACATTGCCGACACTTGTAATAGTAGACCACCTTGACTCACTGAAATATATTTCCACTTCAATTAAATAATGTTTATAAAATAGAAACATGCAAATGAAAAATCGCATCAAATGAATATACAAGTAAAGATAACCTTTGAGAACTCCTCCTCCGTCCTTGTTGAGATCGAATCCCTTTTCTTCAAAGTACTTTTGGACGTATTTGATGTCGCTAAAACGATGCTTGAGTTGATGAACCGCAAAAGCAAGATGGTTCATTGTGTAGCCGTGGAATAGCGTCCATGCCGCAAATTCGCTTTCTCTTCACCGTTCATATACAATTTAACATTAAATTAGGTCTAACCGTCAAATTTATTTGATTAAAGATACTATATTTATATATATTATTAATGATTAGAAAGTTAGAACATATACTGATTAGAAAGTTAGAATATATACTTGGCAAGTTGATTGAAGTCGGTGGAAGTAGGCTTCTCCCAAATTAAAGACCCCAAAGTACTTGAAAGAACCGCTTGCTTACCACCTTCTGGTTTCAAATACTTCCTTATTATCTCCTAATTAGCCATCAATAAGGACCAACAAAAAGAAAAAGAAAAAAATAGATATGTTAAAGACTACTACTAGTAACGAATTATGTTTATATGATCATTTTTTTTTTAATCAACATGTTTATGTGATCATACTTGTGATTCATGGCTTAATTCGTCCACAAGAAGCTCAGCCATGACAAGTCTTGGCAAAGGGCCGTTGCCTAGACCGTGACCACCATCAGGGACGTGAACATCCGGAGGAGAAAGCCAGACAGCTCGTATTTTCTTCTTTGGAAAATCAAGGCCACCTCCAAGCTTATATCCATATTCCATGAAAAAACTCGACAAGGAATCAATTCCGTAACTATCGACCTTAATCCATACCCCAAGAAAACAAAATCAATTCACATAATTAGGACGGTCTCAAAAAAGTTTCGGGTCTAAAGCAAATGAAAATTCAAGTCTACTAACAAAAACAATTGAAAGTCACAAGAATTGCAAACTTAAGGTTTGAAAGGGATAACTACAGTCTATCTGGACCAAATTGAAATAATCGGTCTGAAAAGCGAACCAAATTATATCTAAAAATGATTTTATTTTCTATATATAAAGAAAGGAATTTGTATCTAAACCCAATTGAAAATGAAAAAAAAACGATTTAGAACCATAATTTTTTTAAAATGAAAAGAATTTTTATTCTAAGAGTTAAATCCAGACCTAAAAATCATACATCAGTAAGTATGGAGTTCGAATAAAAGAGAATACAAAATATTGAAAACAATTTATTCATAATTTATTTTGAAAACAATTAGTCTTAAATTGTAAATCTGAAAACCAAACACTCCAAATGGATATCAAACCAAAATCTGGGTTCAACACCCATCACCGATTAATCACAACCAGTTTCTCAAAATGGATTCCTTTAAACTGTCTAAAAGTACAACTTAGTGGGATTTAGGTAATGATCGACTCTTCGTACAATTAGTTCTAGGACATGACAAACTATATGTTAGATTCACTTTGATCCGTTATCCGTTTTGACTCGATTCAAAAATTCATATATCCGTAATTTTACAAAACAAAAC